AAAAAAGATAAAATAGCCAAACAGCAATACTTTCCAACTCTAATCTCCATGGGTTCATTTTACTATGCGACAGCATTTTTCATAATGGATCTGGAAACTGGAGATCCAATGTTTCCCACTTTTGCTATGCAGCATAGCAGACAGATTAGTTTCCCAGAACAGGAGTTTCCAGGATTCCTACAAAACATAATAGAGTTTAGCTACGGCAACATGACGGAATTGAACAATATTAAACTTTATGACATTCATTTTCTAGAATTAGCTAAAAAGATTTCATATCAGGTGTTTCACAAATCTGTTAAGAAGAAGTTTGAAGCCTTGAAAGCACCTCTGGCATTGGAGCCTGGGTTGTATGTTAGAACATAGCAGTTTATTCACCAAACAATTTGTTTACATTGACTGTTTTGCAATTCAGTAGCAAATATATAAAAAAAAAATCAGTTCTATATAGATATATACAAAATACACAAAATAAAAACCAGCATAAAAAATACACAGTGGCAAATGGTATATATAAAATACTTAAAACTCCAGTAGTATGTTCAATGTAGTTCCACAGATAGAATACAGTACATCTAGAATAAATATGAAAAAAAAAAAAACATATGGTATAAAACTGTATATATTCAGTGAAATTGTTATGGAAAGCAGATAATTAACTCTCATTTTCTGACTGACAGAGACTGTCTACTCTCCTGTACTTCTTGGGGAAGTATGGGGCGCTATTACACTGCATCCAGAGGCTGCACACTCCAAAAATCCCCTGAGACTGGTGAACTGTTCCGCCAGGCCCTGGGACTTGTGCTCCCAAGAGCACCCCTACGGGAGCCCTCACCTTCTTCAGAACACAGTCCTGCGCAGGTCATACCTAACTTGGTGAAGACAACAGTGGCTGGGTCAAGCTTGATGGTAGCAGCTACTCTACATCCCTCACAAGCCACAGGTACAAGACCTCCTATGCCACAGTTTAGGCCTGCTAGAGTAGAGGCTAGGGCCACATGCTGCCTGACACTTCAGGGGCAGATGACTTGAACACCCTGGATGAATTCCAAGAGGTAGCAGAGGCCAGACCAGGTGTGCAGGTGATGGATGTTAATCTATCGGCTAGTAGGATAGATATTACTGCCCTCCCGTATGACATTAAAGCTTTATTCGCAGCAGATATCTTGGTGGTGAGCGAGGAGGTAGCCACTCTAGAGGGCCGCATACAGGCTGAGGGATAGAATCACACTCACATGACTCAGAGTCGTACCAGGCTCTGTGTAGAAAGCCTCAGGGTGCCTATATAGGCTTGGAGAAATCCTCCTCTTAGCAGGACATGGAAATCCCAATGTTTGGGCTAAAAGTATACATTTATTGGTAACACAATGAATATAACAGGATTAAAAAAGTAAAATCAATCAAAGCAATGAAAAGTAAGGTGGTGAGATTAATTATAGAAGTGTGAATAATGCAAAGTAAATGTCAGTAAGGAAAAGCTCACGACTGGCATCACCACCTAAACAAGAGTCCAAAGTACGCAATAAAAGGTAAGGTGGCGTGCCTAATTAAAGCAGTGGTGATGCCAGCTGTGAGCTTTTACTTACTGACATTTACTTTGCATTATACACACTGCAATAATTAGGCACACCATCTAACCTTTTATAACCTTAATTGATTTTACTTTTTTTATCCTGTTATATTCATTGTGTTACCAATAAATGTATACTTTTAACCCAAGCATTGGGATTTCTGTGTCCTGCTAAGAGGAGTGTTCTGGTGACTACAGTCAGTATAGTCAGTCCCTGCAGCCTTTCATAGAAATGGCAGTTTTTACACTGCTCCCTAGGGATACTTCCAATGGCCACTCCTAAGACAGCTACTTGAGGTGCATCCTAGGGCAGTGCTGCATAGTACGCATCTTATTATTGAATTGAATTAAAAATCATATTTTATTAAAGGTTACACATGAACAAAGATATAAATTAAAACAGAAAAAAAACAACACAGAAATCCCTCACTAAAAACAGGGTGTAGACTAGATGGAACTAAGTGACAGTTTGCTTCTATTGCTCAATGTAAATGTTCCCATGTTTAGGGAATTTTATGAATTCACAACTAATAAATGAAGGACTCTTTAAAACAATGTTGGTGGAGCCTTCCAGTTCCCTAGAGTAAAAGTACAATTGTTTAAGTTTAAACCCAAAAAAGTGTCTAAGGTTAAGAAATAGTTAGGGAAATGGAGATCAATTGATCAGTGTTTAGGCTACCTAACCTTTTGTTCATTTACTCCCTATTAAGGATTTATTAAGAGTTAATAACTGTGTAGAGGATTCGAAAATAACCCAGTCTGTCTCTAAAGAATTTGCCTTTTAGTTGAAAATAGCAATGTAAATTGTTAGCAGAGGACTCACTTAAAAGGTTTTGTCTTGATGTGGCAGGTGAGCTTACACTTGAATGGCCAGTGGAGTAATACTAAAAAAAAACCTCTAGTTATTTAAATGTGCATAGGGATTTGGGATAGTGCACTAGTAATGTCTATCTGTTTTTATTCATGTATCAGGGCTGATGTGTACTATAGTCATTGCTGCCGCCAAGGAGTAGTGGGAGTTTAAGCGCAAGGATTCATTCAGGTTTGCAATTGCTTTTGTATTACACAGCCATGTTACTGTGCTTCCGCCAACCCCATATGTGCCCTATTAAGGGTTAATAAGTGTGTAGGTATTTAGAAAAATAATAGTTATTAATCCATTTCTTTCTTATAGGCTTTGTCAGTTGCAGACATGGGGGTTGTGGATAGGGCTGCGTGGACATAAACAAAAGCGTTTTAAATCCTAAATGGTAGTGAATTAAGCAGTGAGACTGCATGGACATGATATATACAGCAAAACTGCTTCACTAAGATAAAGTTGTTTTGATGCCTATAGTATACCTTTAACCCCTTAAGGACACATGACATGTGTGACATGTCATGATTCCCTTTTATTCCAGAAGTTTGGTCCTTAAGGGGTTAAACAATTATACTTTTACTATAGGTAATTGGGAGGTTCTACAAATATTGTTCTGAAGAGTCTCTAATTTGTTACATGTATATTCACAAAATCCCCTAAACACGGGAAAGTTTCACATTGAGAAAGAAAAGAAAAACTGTCACTTAGTTCTACCTAGGCTACACCATGTTTCTAATAAGTGTTTTTTCTTTTTTTTGTTTTGAATATGTTTATCGTTATCATTACTTTGTTCAGACATGTATTACAAATGTCATGGTTAACTTGCAGAGTACTGTGCGTTTTACACTTTAATAATCTGTGGTGCCTATTTGTTTTGGTTAGGGCTGTGGGTGAGCAGTTGCGTGCTCTGGTCCTTTGCTTGCTGCCCTGAGTTCTAGTGTGTCGTGTGGCTATTTGCTCGTGTGTATTGGCTTTGTACGTTTCGTGGCCGTCCCTTCTGCTAGTAATGGTGGAGCCGTTTGCGGTAGGTCTGTGTCTCCTCTATTGCATGTGTCTATGGTTGTACCTGTGATGTGTTGCTTTACTCCGGAGCTCTGTGTGTCTGCCCCTAGTGTTGCGTCTTTGTTGTTCATGTTTCGGTGTTCCTGAATCATTTTCTGTGCATGCCGTTCATGTGGTCGTGGTGTTGTCGCGTTTAGGTGGGTTCACCTGTGTACGTGGCTGTGGTGCTTTCCTGTGGGGTTTCGGATGGATCATATAGGTCTGTGTTTGGACTGTGGATGTGTGTGGTGCTCGGATTGAGTGGTTTCGCAACTCCCGTCGGTTTCTGTCTGGCTTCAGTGGCTGTCGGCTCTATGTTGTAACCGTCCGTGTGTTTGTAGTGGGCCTGGGTTCAGGAACAAAGATATAAATTAAAACAAAAAAAAACAACACAGAAATCCCTCACTAAAAACAGGGTGTAGACTAGATGGAACTAAGTGACAGTTTGCTTCTATTGCTCAATGTAAATGTTCCCATGTTTAGGGAATTTTATGAATTCACTACTAATAAATGAAGGACTCTTTAAAACAATGTAGGTGGAGCCTTCCAGTTCCCTAAAGTAAAAGTACAATTGTTTAAGTTTAAACCAAAAAAGTGTCTAAGGTTAAGAAATAGTTAGGGAAATGGAGATCAATTGATCAGTGTTTTGGCTACCTAACTTTTTGTTCATTTACTCCCTATTAAGGATTTATTAAGAGTTAATAACTGTGTAGAGGATTCGAAAATAACCCAGTCTGTCTCTAAAGAATTTGCCTTTTAGTTGAAAATAGCAATGTAAATTGTTAGCAGAGGACTCACTTAAAAGGTTTTGTCTTGATGTAGCAGGTGAGCTTACACTTGAATGGCCAGTGGAGTAATACTAAAAAAAACCCTCTAGTTATTTAAATGTGCATAGGGATTTGGGATAGTGCACTAGTAATGTCTATCTGTTTTTATTCATGTATCAGGGCTGATGTGTACTATAGTCATTGCTGCCGCCAAGGTGTAGTGGGAGTTTAAGCGCAAGGATTCATTCAGGTTTGCATTTGCTTTTGTATTACACAGCCATGTTACTGTGCTTCCGCCAACCCCATGTGTGCCCTATTAAGGGTTAATAAGTGTGTAGGTATTTAGAAAAATAATAGTTATTAATCCATTTCTTTCTTATAGGCTTTGTCAGTTGCAGACATGGGGGTTGTGGATAGGGCTGCGTGGACATAAACAAAAGCGTTTTAAATCCTAAATGGTAGTGAATTAAGCAGTGAGACTGCATGGGCATGATATATACACCAAAACTGCTTCACTAAGATAAAGTTGTTTTGATGCCTATACTATACCTTTAAACAATTATACTTTTACTATAGGTAATTGGGAGGTTCTACAAATATTGTCCTGAAGAGTGTCTAATTTGTTACATGTATATTCACAAAATCCCCTAAACACGGGAAAGTTTCACATTGAGAAAGAAAAGAAAAACTGTCACTTAGTTCTACCTAGGCTACACCCTGTTTCTAATAAGTGTTTTTCCTTTTTTTTGTTTTGAATATGTTTATCGTTATCATTACTTTGTTCAGACATGTATTACAAATGTCATGGTTAATTTGCAGAGTACTGTGCGTTTTACACTTTAATAATCTGTGGTGCCTATTTGTTTTGGTTAGGGCTGTGGGTGAGCAGTTGCGTGCTCTGGTCCTTTGCTTGCTGCCCTGAGTTCTAGTGTGTCGTGTGGCTATTTGCTCGTGTGTATTGGCTTTGTACGTTTCGTGGCCGTCCCTTCTGCTAGTAATGGTGGAGCCGTTTGCGGTAGGTCTGTGTCGCCTCTATTGCATGTGTCTATGGTTGTACCTGTGATGTGTTGCTTTACTCCGGAGCTCTGTGTGTCTACCCCTAGTGTTACGTCTTTGTTGTTCATGTTTCGGTGTTCCTGAATCATTTTCTGTGCATGCCGTTCATGTGGTCGTGGTGTTGTCGCGTTTAGGTGGGTTCACCTGTGTACGTGGCTGTGGTGCTTTCCTGTGGGGTTTCGGATTAATCATATAGGTCTGTGTTTGGACTGTGGATGTGTGTGGTGCTCGGATTGAGTGGTTTCGCAACTCCCGTCGGTTTCTGTCTGGCTTCAGTGGCTGTCGGCTCTATGTTGTAACCGTGTGTTTGTAGTGGGCCTGGGTTCAGGTTTCGTCTGTTACTTCATGTATTACCTCTCTAATTATGTTCCAGAATGGTCGGAGTCGTGAGCATGCCCACCAGGTGTGTATGAATGTGCCTCTCTCATTTCCACATCTCCAACACGTGTCTAGGATTTCCGAATTCCTGGCGTGGAGCGCCGTCGGTGTCCAGTACCATCTGGTGTATATTTTGTACTTGTTTTCTTGCAGCCTTGCCGAGCTAGGTGCTTTTTGTATCAGGGTGATGCTTTTGTCCCAGTCCGCTTCTGTCATGGGTTCTTCTAGGTCTTCCTCCCAGTTTCTCATGCAGGGGGGTGCCAGTAGGTACCTACCCGTATCCAGCATTGCATATATCTGCGAAATGGCACGTGGTGTTTCGTTATCTTGCGTACAGAGTAGTTCGAATTGTGTGGATGGACCGAGCATATCCAACTATTTGTGCTCTCGCCAGTGTGTGTGAAAAGGTAAGCGTCTTGTCTGGAAAAAATTCTGTGAGGCAGCGGACTTCAAATGGTCGCTGGAAGACATCCATCATGCGGGGAGTTGTGGTGCGTCCCACCGGGCCCGGTGTGGGGACATGGTCCCCTGCTGGGAAGTTTGGATTGCCTCTTAACGGCAGTAGCGGGCCTGGATCCGTCGTGAGGTATTGCTTCGTGCCTTGTCTGTGCCAGATCTTCATGGTCGCCACCACGAATGGGTTGGAGATATGTTTATGCTTGTATGTGGCCTTGGGTATCCATGGTAGCGTGCGAAGGTCGCAGTTAGTGATGTCGGATTCTAACTGGGTCCATGGTTTCGTTCCGCTGGCGACCGACCAGCAGGTGACTCTGGTGAGGTGCGCTGCCTGGTAGTATTTTTCGAAATCGGGGAGCGCCAGGCCTCCTCTGAGTTTAGGCAGGGTTAGTTGAGCGTGCGCTATGCGTGGGGATTTGCCCTTCCATACGAACGTGCGGACCTCTGCCCGTAGTGTCTTGAAGAAGGCTTGTGGGGCTAGTATCGGCACAGTTTGGAACACGAAGAGAAGTTGTGGTAGTAGCATCATCTTGAGAGCTCCATTTATTTAGTTCCTCCGTTGCTTTTTTTAGTAAAGGGAGGTAGTTGTGGGTGTAAAGGTCTGCCGGGCTGGGTGTGAGCCAAACCCCTAGGTACCGCATGCGTTGGTCGCACCAGCGGTATGGGTGTTGTCTTTGGAGTGTCCGTTTGTGGGCGTGGTCAATGGTGAGGTTGAGGATCTCCGACTTAGCGTTATTTATTTGAAGGTTGGAGATCAGCCCGTATTCTTCGATCTCTGCCTGTATCACCGGGAAGGTGGTCTCTGGATGTGTGACCACAAACAGCAGGTCGTCCGCATATGCTAGCGTTTTGTGTTGTGTCGTTCCAACTGTGAGGCCCTGTATGTTTATGCTCTCTCTGATCCTCCTCAGGAACGGCTCCAGCGTCTACGCGAAGATCATCGGCGAGAGTGGGCATCCTTGTCTGGTTCTATTGTATATCCGGAACAGGTTCGTCAGTGCTCCGTTTATCTGGATTCGTGCCGTTGGGCAGGTGTAGAGAGCCTGTACCCACGTAAGGTAGTGAGGTCCCATCCCAAAGGCCTGGAGGGTCTCGAACATCATATCCCAGTCTACCCTGTCGAACGCCTTTTCCGCGTCAGTCGACAGAAGGCAGGTCCGTGTCTTGTGTGCTCTAGCGTGTGCAATGATGTTCAGGGCTCTGATGGTGTTGTCCCTCACCTCTCTGCCCGGGATAAACCCTGTTTGGTCCGGGTGGAGTGAATCCGGCAGCAGCGGCGCTAGTCGCGTTGCCAGAATGCTCGCCAGGAGTTTAATGTCCGTATTAAGCACTGAAATCGGGCGGTAGTTTAGGCACAATGTCGGGTCTTTGCCAACCTTTGGAAGCAGGGTAATGTTCGCCGAGGTGAACTGGGCCGTCAGTGTAGCTCCGTCCTGGACGGAATTCAGGGCTTGAAGTAGTTTCGGTTGAACCTCTTGCGTGAAGATCTTGTAGTATTGGAGGGAAGTCCGTCTGGCCCCGGTGCCTTGCCCGTTTTAGCTGGCACGGGGCGAAATGCATTTCGGATTTCAATAGACACTATTAGCCATTTAGGCTACTTGGACTTCAATAGACACTATTAGCCATTTGGCTACACTGGACTTTGGACCTATCCAATTCTGCAGTCCATGTTTTAAAATTTTCTTTTATATTTCCTTTTTTATTTGTTTTGTTGCACATCCTGAATAAAGCTCTTTGTGAAGAAATTACATTAACCCAGCTCAACTTTATTTTATGCGGCTTGAGAACTACAAGAGCATCTAGAAGACGGACGGGGACATCCCATTTAAAAGTCCCACTGCGCTACTCATGGGAGCCATATGATATTATTTGGCTCCAGGCTTGTGAGTACATGATCTCTACGTTATCCATATCTATATACACATTGACAATATTACACTATATGGTTTTATGTTTCTATTTAGACGCATCAAGACGTGTGATCCACCATTGTATGTATTTAACTCTTGTATTTGTTAGGTGGTTTACAGCATATATTTTTTTTGTCTATCACACTTATCCACTTTTGTTCACTGTATACATCTTGTATTTACCAGCAGCGAGAGTGCCTGGAATGACAGGTAGCCCCCCTGCTGCCTGAAAAAAAAGTAAAATAAAAAGGTTAAAAACAGTTTAAAATTAAATAATATATACTTAGATCATATATATATATATATATACACACAGTCTAATGTGTATATTAATATTACTATATATATTAATATCAAGCTACATGTAGAATGATATTAAATATATATAAAATAAATAAATACATTAAATACTTTAATCTGTTGAGCATTATTTATCCCTGTGTGACAGGGCTGGCTCTGTCCCTGATTTATTCACTTTTTAGGAGCCATCTGTTTTTGTTTAGAATTCTCTTTCACAATCTCTTGGAGGGATAATATTCCCCTCCATTTCCAATAAAATCTTGACTTTCCCATCATTAATGTGGGAATCCCCTGACACACACAGAAGCTCTTGCTGTTGGGATTGAAAATATACAGCAGGAGCTTTCACTTGTGCTTCCCCTGTGTCTTTGGCGCCAAATGGAGTAAGAGCATTCCTAAACTACATCTCCCATGATGCCTAGTCGCAGGGTTGACGCTAAAGTGCTCATGGGAGATGTAGTTCAGAGAATAGAAGGCGCTCCTAAGCCCCTCATTTCTCCTGCATTTCAGTAAGTGAGTATTAATCAATGAGTTCCTGTACTGAGTAGGGCTAATACACTCCATTACTGTAGGAAAATGTGCCGTCTGTCAGGATGGCTGCTCACCTACTTTGGGTTTTTACCTTTTCCAAAATGGCCGCCCGTGCGCTCTGAGGGCCTGCCCCACGGAATGACGCCAGCACCCTGACTACGTCACGGCCTGAAAGCGCGCCACGGTTTAAAGTACCCGGAGAGGGACTGGCAGCCGCTCGTATTGGGGGACAGTGGGTAAGGGTAACACAGGGTGTCATTATATCAGGGCTGACTCCTTGGCGTCCCCTGGCGGCCGGGTGAGTATTACACACAGTGATACTCTGACTGTAGGGGGAGGCTGTGATTACTGGGGGCTAATCAGGTCTCACAGCTCCTTTAACACTCTCTATCCTGCATTATAGGACCACAGCAGGCACCCAGACCGCAGCAGGCACCCAGACCGCAGCAGGCACCCAGACCGCTGCAGGCACCCAGACCCCAAACCGCTGCAGGCACCCAGACCGCTGCAGGCACCCAGACCCCAAACCGCTGCAGGCACCCAGACCCCAGACCGCAGCAGGCACCCAGACCGCTGCAGGCACCCAGACCACTGCAGGCACCCAGACCACTGCAGCTTAATGAAGTGGTCTGGGTGCCAGGTCCAGCTAGGGTTAACTCTTTTTTTAAAATAAACATAGCAGTTTCACAGAAACTGCTATGTTTATAAATGGGTTAAGTCTTCCCCCAAAGCCTCTAGCGGCTGTCTCATTGACAGCCGCTAGAGGGCTTCCCCGCTTCTCACTGTCATTTTCACAGTGAGAAGACGCCAGCGTCCATAGGAAAGTATTATGAATGCTTTCCTATGAGACTGGCTAAATGAGCGCGCAGGTCTTGCCGCGCATGCGCATTCAGCCAATGACGGGGAAAGAAGGCGGAGAGTCCCCACCGCCGAGGGAGCCTGGCGGTGGAGAAAAGGTAAGTGTTTAACCCGTTCCTCACCCAAGAGCACGGCAGGAGGGGGACCCTAAGGGTTGGGGGGGGACCTAGAAACCCTGTAGTGCCAGGAAAACAAGTATGTTTTCCTGGCACTGTAGTGGTTCTTTAAAAATGGTTTCCTTTCTCCATACATGATCATCTAAATCATTTCTGTAAGACACACAGTGCACATCACTATGGACACCATTATAACCTATAGCAACATAACATGATGGCCATGAGATCACATCTAGCATCATTTATTCTTATTAAAATGAGCTCTAATAAGCTGCTTATTGAACCTATTTAATAAACATATGTAGTAAAGGATGTTGTGTACATTCACAGCAAATATTTCATGTTTATGCAAAGCTACCCACATAGTAAACCCAGAAAGTGCCAAGCATGGCTTTTAAGTGGGTCTCTCAGCCCTAAAACTTGCCACAGGCTAGCTCTGATTTGGGTTTAAACAATTTTCTGGATGGTGACTTAGATTACTAAATTGATTGTTGTCTTTTGGTCAGCTTGTGTCTCTCATATAAATGATACAGAGAAATATCCCCTACTAGTCTAATCACAATTATTCTTTCACTAGTTTAACCCGTTCAGAGACAGCTTCAGAAGTAAAAGGCCAGCATGACAGAAAGTTTCCATCATGTGCTCTTAAGGGGTTAATACATTACAATACAATGAGAAATAGCTTTTTTGCTGCCATATTTTTATAGCGTTTGCGTTATTCGGCATAACTATGTCTGGATAATTTTAAACCTAGTTAAGACAGCTTGCGATTAAACAGGACAGGTGTGAGGTGTGTTGCTGTATACACGGGTAAATTCAGTAGCAAAGATGCTTTGTGATGAATTGGACATTTTTATTTTTTTTTTATAGTAATGATATACATTTACTCCTGTAGATACAGCAGCTGAATCATGGGAATTCAAGGATTGCTCCAGTTTCTAAAGGATGCATCTGAGCCTGTCCACATGAAGAAGTATAAAGGGCAGACCGTTGCTGTGGACACCTATTGCTGGCTGCATAAAGGGGCTTTTGCTTGTGCTGAAAAATTGGCTAAAGGAGAGCCAACTGACCAGTAAGTGACGTGTTTGGTTGTTACTGTAACTTCCTTTATAAAGTCCCATCACATTCTGCAAGGATATACGTTCATAGACAGATTTTTATTTTTTTTACACTATGATGTGTGGTTAATAATCATGGGGGTTTTTCAACGTGAAGATTGCCTACGTTGAATGAAACATGAATATTATAAAAAATACTCATTCACAAAACATAACAATAAAAACAAGCCTCAACAGAGTGCCAAGCACTGTTCTCGCTTTGGCATCTTAAGAAACAATTTGCTATTTGGTATTCCATGCCATGAATGGATATCAATGAGTATCTAAAGTGGTCACATTGGTTTGATGCTTAGGGCAAGTTCTACTGCCCACTGACTCTGTTTAGTAAATGAACTCCCAAGTTATTTCCCTTAATTCACTGCATTCTGTACCTGCGTGTGGATATGTCATGTGACAGTCATTACTATCATTTTACAGGTATGTTGCTTACTGTATGAAGTTTGTTCATATGCTTCTGATGAACGGGGTCAAACCAATACTTGTATTTGATGGATGCACATTGCCTTCCAAAAAAGATGTTGAAAAAGCAAGACGAGAGTAAGTATTTGCAAATGTTCTAGAGTTTTTATTATACTATACTGTAATGTGTGCTGGTATTTCTCATGCTGTTTTTTCTCCATGCTTCAGCTCCGTTTATATACTACGCACCGAGTTGTCATGAGTTGCAAATGTGGAGATAGTAGCAACATTTTTTTGAAATTTAATTTTATTTCACTGGTTACTTTTTGGAGTTTTTGACCTGGATGGTATTGATGGGGTATATACTTTCTTTGTATAATGGTGTGCAAATTGCTGTAAATAAAAATATATTTATAAAATGACTGCATTACCTTGCATTTGTTTGTGATTTAAACTAATGCAGCATGGAGACTTCCAATGTAGTGCTGCAGATTGTGTACAAAAAACAAACAAACCACAAGCACCTGTGTGACTGAGTGGGGAGACTTTGCTAATGTCAGTGTATGAGTGTTCATTTCTGCTTAGCCAAAGGTGAGTGCGGTATAGAGTGCATTGATAAATCTTGTCTTGCAGGAGGCGGCAGACTAATTTGCAAAAGGGGAAACAGCTGCTGCGAGAAGGCAAATTATCGGAAGCCCGAGATTGTTTTTCACGCTCCATTAACGTAACTTCTTCAATGGCACATGAAGTTATTAAAGTATGGAACTATTTTTAAATACTAATATGTGTATTATTTAAATAGGTGGATATACAGCTTGCATTATACTGTAATTCGAAAGTAAAAAAATAGAAACATAGAACGGCAGATAAGAACCATTCGGCCCATCTAGTCTGCCCGATTTTCTAAATACTTTCATTAGTCCCTAGCCTTATCTTATAGTTAGGATAGCCTTATGCCTATCCCACGCATGCTTAAACTCCTTTACTGTGTTAACCTCTACCACTTCAGCTGGAAGGCTATTCCATGCATCCACTACCCTCTCAATAAAGTAATACTTCCTGATATTATTTTTAAACCTTTGTCCCTCTAATTTAAGACTATGTCCTCTTGTTGTGGTAGCTTTTCTTCTTTTAAATATAGTCTCCTCCTTTACTGTGTTGATTCCCTTTATATATTTAAATGTTTCTATCATATCCCCCCGTCTCGTCTTTCCTCCAAACTATACATGTTAAGATCAATACTTGTGTTAACTTATTTCTTCTTTTAAAATAAAATTTCAAGATTCGTTAACTCGTTATTGGATATTATTTAAAAGAAAATCCATTAGCTGAAAACATTGGGCTTTGAGTTAAATATACTGGATATCTGAATGTATGTGTTCCTTTTGGACATATTCATTGTAGTGTAATGCTGCAGAGGGGTGCTTTTACTAATATACACATTTTGGATTTCAGAAATGGATAGATTTAACCTGTTTTTTTAACGCAGCCATGTATAATACATTTGTAAAGAGTGATTGAGTGGCTAATTATTTAACTGGCTTTGCATTGTGGTAACTGTAGTATTGCGCAGCCAAGGTTGGGTATCACTGGTCTAAGTTCCTTGCAGGGGGGTGAGGGCTAATGTGGTGTTACAGACAGTGTTAGCCAACAGATAGCATCACAGCATATAATCAAAATATCCCATGATGCTCTGCTAAATCAGAATGACGGGAGTTAAATTGTTGCAGCTGGACAGCTATTTTTTTTTGTCAAGTCCCATTTATTTTCTGTTTCTGAATGGATCTGCAAATAATAAGTGAATACTTCTGATTGGCTCAATTTCCAATGTGTATATATGTATTTTTAAGGACCTACACAGTCCTGACCATGTTCTTCATCCTAAATTAGTTAGTTGATTGATACATGCTAAATCAAACTATGTATACAACTGGAATGCTGTTTTGCCAAATCGTGAGAAACACATTCTTTGCGTATCTAGTGAAGAGACTGTTATATCTGTATTTTGCTTGGTAGACTGCTCGCGCAGAAGGTGTGGACTGCATTGTTGCTCCCTATGAAGCGGATTCCCAGCTGGCGTACTTAAATAAAAATGGTTTTGCTCAGGCAATTATTACTGAAGATTCCGACCTGCTGGCGTTTGGTTGTAAAAAGGTAACTCTAATGTGTGTATGAGGGCCACAAAACAGGTTTTGTGGAACTATAATTTTGCATGATGCCCATCCACGCAGAGTTTGACAAAGCCCCTCCCCCCTACCAGTTGCCCCTCCGTGGACCATTCCGTTATACCACTAGGGTAGTACCAAATTGTCTGTGCTTTCTTACAGTGCTAAATGGACCTCCATTAAAATTCTTGTCTAATTCTTTGTGCATGTGATTCCTGTAACTGTACATATAGATTATATATAGAATACTGAAATTGAGTGTATTACCCCTGTTTCCTATTTGTGCTTTAGAATCTCTGTGAAATTATTTGTTTGATCTAGCCGTGAGCATGTCTGATCTTTATTTCATAGGTGATTTTAAAATTAGATAAGTTCGGGAATGGTCTAGAAATCGACCAGGCACGGCTGGGAATGTGTAAACAGCTTGGGGACGTATTCACTGAAGAAAAATTTCGTTATATGTGCATTCTGTCTGGCTGTGATTATCTTCCTTCTATTCATGGCATTGGTCTGGCTAAAGCTAGTAAACTTATAAAAATCGCAAACAACCCTGATATTCTAAAGGTAACTCATTTTGTGGGATGGGACGGCTTTTTACATCTTGATTGTGCAGCGATGGGCATATCGGGTGAATGAAATGTTCTGTCAACATTGAAGCCAATTATTGGTCACTGGTAGAACAAGAGTGACACAGTCTGCTAGATCTCTCTCTTTATTAATTTTTTTTTTTTTTTTAAATAACTTTTCATTAAACCAAACCTCAATTTTCTTCCTTGTATTTTTGTTTTGTTTGTTTTTTTACATCTTGCTTGTATTTTAACATGCTCTGCAAAACTGATGTGCATTGTAAATCTCTGCACCACGTAAATAGACTTAAAAATATTTGTGACAGAAAATAAAATATTATATGCAATAGCATGTATGAGTGCATTACAAAATAACTGTTATAATGCATATCATCTTTTAATTAGTATAAAAAATATATATATTTTTTTATTTAAAACAATGTCTCTTATAGACTGTTCTGGATCCTATATAATATGCTGTACAAAAGCTAAAGAAAAAGTCACTTCAAATGGTCCAAATATCAAAAAAGAATTAATGTTTTTCTGCAGATGTATGTTCATTCTTTTGTCTGTGTGTTTGACTTTGTATTCACATCTGTTAATGTCTGTTGCCAGTTCTAAAATATTCTGGGATGTGTACGTTTTTCTGTTTATATTATAGGTCATAAAGAAAATTGGGCAGTACTTGAAAATGAATATTACAGTTCCCGATGGGTATATAGATGGATTTGTCCGTGCCAATAATACATTCCTTTACCAGCTGGTATTTGACCCTGTGAACAGGAAACTGGTTCCTCTGAATCCGTATGATAACGATGTTCAACCTGAAGAATTGGATTATGCTGGACCGTATCCTTTTTTAAAAATTTTTTTTTTATATAATATATATATATATTGCATTTATGTGTCTGTAAATCAGGTGGTGGTGGGGGTTTTTTTTTTTTGGTGTTGATATATCAAAAAAATAAGCCATAGCATAAAGCAAAATATTTTAACACTTCACCAACTGGATTGTAGATGCACTGCTGTTTGAGTCTCCTTTGTGCTGTGTTTGCAGTCATTAAACCAAAATTACAGTAGATATTTGTCCTTCTAGACCTCTCCTGCCCGCTCTGTATGATTTCTCTAATAAATAGGGCATTGTGGATAAATGACACTGACATTGCAACGTCAAGGCCAAAAAAACAAACTGGACAATAATTTATATATAATATAATGAGAACGGTTTGCGCGACATCGCTGTAACCTGGCGGGCAAGGAAAGTGGACTGTAATGCGCATGCGTGAACATTGATAAAGAGATGCTGGGAGAACTGTGTAAGGTCCCAAAGTGCCTACTTTGAAGAGGACTGAGGCATCATTGTCTTATATACAATGTTTCTGGTATCTTCTTCAATAAATGTCGTGTTTTTTTTTTTTTTGTTTTTTTTTAATATATGGTTAGTTCAGCTTTTCAAAACTAGTGTTCCGCGGAACCCTGGGGTTCCGCCGCGATCTGACCATCGGGTGGCTCATGCACTTGGGGCCACCTGATGGCTATTATCGCTGAGCAAGGGCTCGCGGCCTGGGCCCCTGCACTATCAGCGGACTGGGAGGAAGTGACAGCACTTCCTCTCAGCCTCATTAGAGAAACTGCCGCGCGGGAGGAATGCAGTGAGTGATAACCAGGTTGGAGGCAGCAGCACACCGCATGGAGACAGAGGAGAGGCTGGGAGTGAGCTGCTGCTGCATGCTTACAACCATCAGCTTCAGACAGGACCAGACCTCCAAGCAAGCCACCCTCCTGGACACCAAGATAAGCTAACGGGAAGGTGGCTCAAATACAAACATTTTAACTTGTGTGTATCAGTGTGTGCATCTAAGTGTGTGTGTATATGTACCAGTGTTTCTATCTGTGTGTCTATGCATCAGTGTGTATGTGCCAGTGTATATATCTGTATTAACAAAAAATGGTACCTGTGTATGTGCCAGTGTGTCAAGGTGTGTGTCTGTAGGTGTCAATGTGTCTATATGTGTGTATGTTTGTAAATATGCAAACATATCCCATGCAAACATAAACATTACACACACACAAAAAAAACTGAATTCAAACACCAATACTACTCACAAATGTACATCCATGTTTAAAAGCCAACACTACATCCAAAAACACCCCTGCAAACAAATGCAAACATTACAGACACAAACACCCGTGTATTAACCTCTTGAGGACTGAGCCAAATGTACACATTGTGATCAAAACGTAAACAAAAACTTGAACCTCGTACATTGGGATCACTTTACATATTTAATGTTTCCTAAAATCGCAGGCGTGTAACCTTGTACAGTCTGGAATAGTGGGAAGCTAGAATCTTTATTGTGCCTTTTTTGGGGGTGGGGAGATTGGGTCTCCCCCCCTTCTCCTAAACCTGTGGTGGAGTGACTAAACTGTTTCCCCTCATCTAAATGATAGATTTACAGTAATTTACTTAATTGTGAATTGACAAGAATTCACTATATAGTTACAGATTTAAGTCCACAGTGCTGAGATAGTTTAGAATTTTTTTTTGCCTGAAGTTTATGCTTTTAATCCCTAACAGTTCAGTTTAGTGGCTATCCCTAAATGTTTTGTTTTAGTTTGTGTGTGACCTATCTACCCTGTAACCTAAAATCCCACCTGTCGTATGTTCCCCTCTGTGTTCTTTTTTTTTTTTCTTTTTGTTGTTGTTCCTTTTCCTTAATTTAGCCTAGAAACATTGGTGATACGGCTGCTTTGCAGATTGCTCTTGGAAACGCTGACGTTAACACCATGGAACAGATTGATTTTTACAATCCAGATGATCCACAGGTATAACACAAGATGTTTATATACGATGCATCTACTGTACTTCTAGCAACATGTTATCAGCACATCTTGTAAAAACCTCATTTTGTTTCATTTAATCAAGACGGCAAATTGTATTTTTATGTATTTTCCTTATGAATGCCGGCAATGTATGGGGTATATGTAAAGCATGCTTATTAATTCTAAGATTAGTTTCTGTCCAATGATTGTCTTATTACATATACCCTAAGGAAAATATTTGGATTCTTTAGTGCTTCAGAGAGCATTTAATTCACAGAGATATTTGACTTTGATTTTGTCTTTTTAGCCTTCCCAACAACGGAGCCAAAGTTGGAAAAGCAAAGACATTGCACCTGCGGAGAGCATTTGGAAAAGGAATTACACGCCATCAAAATATGTGGCAACGGAAAGGAAACAAAGTGAGGACAAACACAGCCCCCGCGGGTTAATTCTCCCAAGCAGTAAGACTGCAAAAAGACCTCATGATGGTATGTTTCTGTTATTAAAATTAATTAAATGATCAGTAAATTACACACTATTTATCAATATTATGTTATGGCACTGGTGCTAAATGTTTTTATGAACCTACCACATTTTAACGGTTTCTGCCTGAACACGTGTGATGTTGGTTGCACTGCTTGGCCTACCACTAGGTTAACCCGTGATTGAGCAGAGAAACTGTGCAGGGGACTGTGGTATAGATAAATAGTTAAATACTTTTCTTTTGGTTTTGCACTTAAAGGGATTCTAAAATGCCAGGAAAACAAAGCAGTTTTTCTGGCACTGTAGGTTCCTACAGTGCCCCACTCCCGCAGTACTGAAGGGGTTAAAACCCCTTCAGTCATTTACCTGAATCCAGTGCTGATGTGCCTCTGTGCTGGGTCAGGCTCCCCCTACGCTCTCATTAGGATTTCCCCATAGGAATGCATTAATCAATGGAGATTCCGGTGACGCTGCAAGTCCTCATACACAGTGTGAGGACGTCCAGCGTCATCTAAGCTCCCGGAAGTCCCTATAGTGGAGTTAACCCTGAGAGGTAATTATAATATTTACCACTGTATGGTCATGAGACATTGCACCCAGACCATTTAAATGAGCTGAAATTGTCTGGGTGCCTACAGTGTCCCTTTTAAGTATGCTTGCAGAGGGTGAAGGGAATCTCACAAATTCATGTTTTCTGGCTTAGTTTGGGGAGGATCACATTTGTGTGCATCATTTGAAATGTAGTTATGTGGCTCACAGTTGATGTTTCTGAGCTAACTGTCACATTTGTATGTAGCTAGGTTCATGTATCAATACAATAAAGAATTGACATTTTTGTTGTTTTAAAGGTTTTTTTTTTGTTTTTTTTTTGTTTTTACTTCTTTGTCTAAAAGGTGGCATGTCAGACTCTGATATCTTTAGCCAGTATTCATTTTCTAAAAACAAGAAAGCCAAACATGAACCAGATAAGCTTTTAACTCAACTGAAGAGTTCCAGCCCAACTAAAATCTTACAGCCATTAGAAGATTGTTCCAATAATAAGGCGCAGAATCCGCAGCCAAAGGTCCGGAATAAATTTGCTACCTTGTTGCAAAGAAGAAGTGAGGAAGGTGGTTCGGTGTCTGCCATGGGGACGAGGAGCAGGTATGTAATTTCTTAAAGTATTGTGATACAGATAAGAATTGATTGACTTGTACTCTGTCTGGTCCCAGTTCAAAAACTCAACATTTGTTCTTTTCCTTACTTTGGCTAACTGTGTCCTGGACATTTCATACTCCTGCCCCACAGCTGTTGCTAGTCCACAATATTCAGCTTGCAAGTGATTTTGGAAATGTTGAACCTAAATTGGATGCTCACGTCTATCCTATTTATTTATTTCTCACCTAGCATCTCTGTAAGAAGACCCACATCTCCTTGTAGGTTACATTTCCTCATTATACCTATATTTTCCCCCCCTTATCTTTTATATCTTATATATCTTTTCTGTAATATAATATTTGAGCTAATCTGGCAGCATTACAAATGAATGATAAAACTACTGTTGAATTGCAATGATTAAATGAAATCTAAACAATGAATCCAAACTGGCTGGTAACTCCACCCCATCTCTTCATGTGTAATAAGTGCTGTAATACTGATTAAAATATTTTAGGGCCAGACTATTTATTGGTACATTCCTTTTCACTCTGGCAAACAAAGCTTAAATGAAAACGATATATACATTTTTTTTATTTTTTATTTTTATTTCTTTATATTTTTTTAAACACCTTTTTTATTGGAGCTGTTATATGGGAAAGTTTATTTTTCATAGGGGATTAAAATTAATATAACTTCTGTTTATTTTTAGATTTTTCTACAAGCCACCCGACCAATCCAGTTCTTTGATGGGTGAAACAGAACAGTCAGAAAGTTACAATGTTGACAGTGGCACAAAGATAAACGAGATTAACAGTGAAACTGAAGCAATAAAGGAGGAGTTTGATGTAAAGGCTGAGAAGGAGCTGCGTACGTCTCCAGTGTCGGAGGACTGTAGACTGTCTTTACAGGCAGCTCCTGTACCTAGCCCAAAAGGCTGTTTCAGCTGGTCTGGGAGTCTGACCACAGGCAACTCCAAGGCTCTCACTGTCTCTCCATCTCTGCTGTCTCTTAGAAAGTTTCAAAGAGTGAAGCCTTGCTTAGAACCCAACACAGAGAGAGATAAGACAGATTGTCCCAACGGATCGGATAATACAGTGTTCAGTATAGATTCAAGTCCTTCAGAAACACAAGAAACATCATCTGTTGTGGAAAGTGGAGACTCTAGCTCAGAGGTAAAATGGGGGTAAACTCCCTGGTTTTTGGTATAATTTATGTAAATCCTTGGTTCGGATAGCATACGCATATAGATTCCTTTTTGCACTTTAAATGGGATTTGTTAAACACGTTAAAAAAGCCAAAAGTTTCTGTCCTTGAAAACTGTAGATGGCCTGTCTGCAGCTGCATAAAGGTCTATCCCATAAACCACTGCACAGAGATAAAGGTCAACCCAAGCTGTGCAGGCAGCAGAGAGACATGCAAAACCTGCATAAAAAATTTACATAGCCAGCCTTAAAACAATGGCACAAGCAACTTTCCTTAATTTTATGTTTTCTTCTTGTGCTCAGGACATGTTGCAGTATTACACTGTATTACTTGTTGGCACTGCTAATTACATTAACCCCTTAAAGGACCACTCTAGGCACCCAGACCACTTCAGCTTAATGAAGTGGTCTGGGTGCCAGGTCCCCCTAGGATTAACCCTTTTTTATTTTTTTTATTTTATTTTTTATAAACCTAGCAGTTTCAGAGAAACTGCTATGTTTATAAATGGGTTAATCCAGCCTCCAAATCCTCTAGTGGCTGTCTCATTGACAGCCGCTAGAGGTGCTTGCGTGCTTCTCACTGTGAAAATCACAGTGAGAAGACGCAAGCGTCCATTGTAAATGCTTTCCTATGAGACCGGCTGAATGCGCGCGCAGCCAGCCGAAGGAGAGGAGGAGGAGGAGAGCTCCCCTTTCCTCTCCCAAGAGCTGGGCGGGAGGGGGACCCTGAGGGTGGGGGCACCCTCAGGGCACTATAGTGCCAGGAAAACGGGTATGTTTTCCTGGCACTATAGTGGTCCTTTAAGGACACATGACGTGTGACATGTCATGATTCAATTTTATTACAGAAGTTTGGTCCTTTAAGGGGTTAAATAAAGGGACTAAATAATTAATCCAAGAGACTGAAACACTGTAGGTTTTGCCAACACTGCGCACATGTAAATGATAAAAACCATTGTACATCTTCGAGAGGAATGTAGTCATCATAGAAAAACAGACTGATTATATATACAGAAGCACACTACTACTTTATTAAAAGAAAATATAAAATATATTAAAAACAAAATGTGGAATTTGATCTGAAACTAATCTGAGCTATTTGCTTTCTTTATTTCATAAGGAGCTGGACAACTCTTTGGAAACTCCCTGCAAATTCACTCTGAAAACATCTCCTCCCGAACGGAAGATTATCTCAACTAAAAGCAAGGTAGTGATCATATTGTGTATCAAATATTGCATAGTGGAAACGTTTTTATCATTTTTCTACAAACCAATTACTTGCAGAATTATATAAGCAATGCTGTACAGGCACTTCATTCTTATGAATGCAGCTACATTATAGCATTGATATATTAATGAGCTTCTAAAAAGGCAATTCATTGTGGGAAATGGGTACTGGCAGTACATTTCATTTATACCTTAGTTTGATTGCCATAAAACTACTTTTTCTGTTATAATATTGCATGAATTGAACTTGTATTGCAAGATCTAATGATGTAAACTATATTCTAAATACTACTCCTGTTTTCCAGGTTCCTGGACTCCTTAAATCAAAGACTATGTATTCTGGGTTTGGGAAAAAAGTGAAGCCAACTGCACCTGCCAAAGCCAGTGGCCTGAGCAGCCGTGGCCGCACAAAAGCTACTCATAATAATGAGAATAAGCCAGCACTGCAAGCCACAATTAATGATTTGTGGAAGAACTTCAGCTTTAAGAAGTGAGCTTCCCTCTGAACCAAGGTCTGTGTTCAATGACCGATTTCACTGGAAAAGAGGACAGGAGGCCATTTCTTTAGACTGTTACTCTCCCACAGTACTGTGATTGGTCCCTAAACCATGAATTTTAGTAAAATGAAAACTAAATTGCAAAATTTAGGCTGAAGTAGCCATGGTGTAAATATAGCAGAATTCTAATTTTTTTGCATAAATTTTGCAGTTGTGTTTCCTTTTCACTACTGTTTAGTGAATTAACCCCATTCTGTATTTTTGTATTTATTTTTTTCAGTGTTTTTTCCCCACCTTTTTCCAGACCCTAAACCAAATACATTGAGTTCCAAAAGGAAGCATGAGTGAACAATTTTTTATTTTTTTTGGTCTCATGTTTATATACTCTGTGAATCCTTCTCCTGGGACACAGTAAATGTCTGTAATGTGATAGATTTAATGGGAGCATTGTGCTCTGTCACTGAAACTGCTGTAAGTCCTACAATTTAGAGGTTTTACAAATTTGAGCTTTTACACGGTGGGAAAGCCTAAATATTTGTGATAATTTAGTAAATCAGACTCTGTTTTGCCTATACTTGGTTAGCTCTCTGCCCAATATTTTTAATGTGCCTTAATATACTTTGCAAATCTCCACAAACCAATAATTTATGGGAAAACACATATTCTAGATTTTAAAAGGAATCCCTTTTAACAGTCTGGAAAAGACTGCAAACCTCAATGTAAATGTTTTTTTACATTGAGACTTTCTGCTTATTACATTATCTGTGGTTATGCATTTTCCACTGTTTACATTTTAACTTAATTTAGAAAAAATATTATTGCTTTTAAATGATCTAGAATATGGGCCTTCTTATTAAAGGGACACTGCACAATAACCACTATCTCAATGAAGTGGTTAATTTACTGGGGATGGTCTTTAAAGGAAGCCAACCCAATGTAATTAGTCAAACTGTTTGTGAGCAACTTGACAGACTTACTTGGGGTCCACTAGGCCAAGGTAGCAAAGTCCTCTGCAGCCTGGAAGATCCATGTTCTGTGCTGGCCCAGCAGTGCAGATAGTAACTATTGGCTGCGAGTGCTCAGTTGGTGCTCTCAGCCAGTTAGCTGGCCATTTACTGCAGGGCTTAGCTCGGTGGATCTAATGGAAGTAAACGGCTTGTAAGTTGTAAAACTGTCTGACTAGTTACACTGAGAGTGGATTGTGGTAATTTAGGTCTTTGGGGGATTCCTTTTAATTATTGCTAGCACCAGCACAAAGTGAAATGCTGGAAAAAAACAGAAAACACGTGCCTGATAAAATCTTTGCTCAATTTTATTAAGCTGCTATCTTTAAATAAACACACCCTTAGGAATTGTTAGTACAGAGTGAATGCTGGTCTACATGTACGTATGGTTTGCTAGGTTCTAGAATACGTGGCCAAGTCTGCTGGTAGAAAATGCTGAAATTTAATTTCCTACAACATCTGGATGGCAAATCTGTCCTTCCCCGTTCCGGTGTGTAGTGTCTTTGCTATTGTGTCTGTTTCCCTTTAACTCCTGTTTTATGAAAACACAACTGTATTTATATAAATGTAAAAAACAAAAACAAATTAAAAGACCATATGCAATGTCATTTTATATGATTACACCCCAAATCTGGGGGCTTGGGGTGAGACCTTCTCCCTAAAGCCAGAAACTCAGAGCCGGATCTTGTTTACAGCGAATGCAGCTCCTGCAAAGCTTCAACTAGAGTGTGAGCTGTGCAGTTACCTGAAAAGAAGAAAACTATTAAAGTCTAATCTAATTCCAGCAAACCATTACTCCGAATCTGGCCGGGGCAGCCTGCGGCTCTCCCATTACTGCTGGAACACAATGACCGATTGGTATAGCAATAGTCCCACTGAACATGCAGATTTTAATTATTTGGAAGGTGCACGTTTAGTAGGAAAGCTGTAATTATTTGATACATTTCATGTATTGTCTGGTGCTTGGTTTTGTCCCCCACCGCACATTTCTTTTAGTGTACTTTTAGCGTTTCCTTATTATAGAGTAAAAACAGGCAGAGAGAGTGAATGTATTTATATTTTAAGTTTTTTGGTTTGTGTTTGTTTTTTCCACAAAAATATATTCACATATGTTTATGTTCTGTTGGTTTGTGAATCTGAGTTTTTATTGTGCCAAACAAGTACTGTAATTAAACTGCCAATGTCACTTGCACAGTCTTTACATTATTGCCAAAGACTTTACCCAAAGTGACGTATTTGTTCTTATAGTGGCACCTGAGTGGGACAGGCGGAAAGAGAAATACTTACCTAGACTTTTTGGCTATTCAACCTGTCAATCTTACAGAGCAAGATTACCTTCAGTTTGTGGCAGAAAAGTCTACAGGAACCATGTCACTGTTGCATCTTGCCGTGAGATTGTAGAAGAGACTGTGAGATCCACAGTAGAACTTGTTGTACATAAGAAACGTGATACAATATGTAAGAGATGTTCCTGTCAGTACATGTGAATGAGGGCTGATGGTAAAACACAATATGTGACTGTGCAAGCTGCTGAACACTAGACTTACCCAAAATTCGCCTGAGCCATTTTGTCCAATACAAATCACTTTAATTCCACGCCTGGGCGTATCAATTTGGGTCTGGGTTAAAAAGAATTTGATTCGAACAAAATGGCTTATAAAAGTTTTTTTTTCATTATTGCACAAGTCTACTGAACATTCAGCCCTGTGGCGCAAACCAGTATGTTGACGCAACAACAATTGCACGTTTTGATAAAAGCAAAAAGTTTCTAATTGTATTTCTAAAGATAAAATTTGATTTTTTATTTTTTTTTATTGATTTTTTTTTATCGTCATCTCCTTTTTTTTTATGTGTAGGAACTGTGGTCTGCATTTCCTATACAATTGTTTAATGTAGAGAGTATACCACGGATTTAGTTATAAAGTAAATTTTTAGGAAAGAAGGCTAAATATGGAGCCAATCAACCAAGACCAATTGCACTGTTTAAACCGCATAAAATCGTAGCTATAAGCCATTATGTTTATTCCCAGCCATGAAACTACAGTTCAAACACCTTCTTAAAACTGAGGGAACGATCCATACTGCATGTGAATGTTTGCCAACAACAATATGTTCCATAGCTGTACTCTGCGCAATTGCAGTATCCATGTGCTGTGTCTAAATCCATAAATGTCCTGTTATAACACACTGGGTTCTGAGATTATCACCGGTACCCAACATTCATAAATGTATGTCTGTATGGAAAATATTTTATAAAATGGGATAATAATAGATAATTCTTCATAAATAAATATTATCAAGTCAGCTGATAGACTTCTACATGGTTTGGAATTACTTATTCTACTCGGACACTCCAATTGTTAATATGGAATTTTTTTTAATTTTTTTTTTTTTATATCACAATTCTGGATTGTAATATATATATATGTGTGTATGTATATATGTACATGTTGTATATAATATGCCCAATGATTTACATGGAATAATTGTAATTTTTGTTTTTGTATTTTAGAATATTCTTTCTTCTCCCCACCCCACAATCTTTTTTTTTTTTTTCAAATAAATATTTACTTTAAAACTGTGAAGTGTGTAGAAAGTTATTTCAGCTTAATCTGTTGTACTCTATATCAGTTATCTGAGTTCTAAAGACAGACATTTATTGGAGCAGCTATATCACAAAATTATCTCATTGGAAGGATATTGCTCATTAAAAGGACACTATAGTCACCTGAACAACTTTAGCTTAATGAAGCAGTTTTGGTGTATAGAACATGCCCCTGCAGCCTCACTGCTCAATCCTCTGCAATTTAGGAGTTAAATCCCTTTGTTTATGAACCCTAGTCACACCTCCCTGCATGTGACTTGCACAGCCTTCCATAAACACTTCCTGTAAAGAGAGCCCTATTTAGGCTTTCTTTATTGCAAGTTCTGTTTAATTAAGATTTTCTTATCCCCTGCCATGTTAATAGCTTGCTAGACCCTGCAAGAGCCTCCTGTATGTGATTAAAGTTCAATTTAGAGATTGAGATACAATTATTTAAGGTAAATTACATCTGTTCATGCAGGCGCTGTCAATCATAGCCAGGGGAGGTGTGGCCAGGCCTGCATAAACAGAAACAAAGTGATTTAACTCCTAAATGACAGTGAAATTGAGCAGTGAAATTGCAGGGGAATGATCTATACACTAAAACTGCTTTATTAAGCTAAAGTAATTTAGGTGACTATAGTGTTCCTTTAAACCATCAGGTTGTTGTGTTATTTCACAATGTTTGTGTGTTTCATTCCTTGCAGTGCTAACCCCTTATCACTATGAGCCCTCAACATTCTTTATAAAGTGTTCATTGGTTTCCTTTACTGGTTTATGCATGGCTTATTAATAATGTTCAGTAGTCACTTTGCTGAAGTATCTGATATTAGATGACCCTATACGTGCTCCTTCCAGCCACAAACTTTCTGCACTTTGTAGTATTTATGGTGGTTTAAGAACCCTTTATAATGTGTTAAAAAATGCTGTCAGCTGTAATTCTTTTGGTGCCAGGAATTCACTGGCAAGCAGTCATGCCATTTAACTATTTGACACCTGGTCACCTCCAGTCCAGTCCCTCTTTATTATATATATTATTGTATATTAATTTCTGTCATTTAATGTAATACACCTATAAATACCTAAAAGATATACAATCTAAATAAAGGAAAAGAGCTTATAAATGCGTGAATAAGGAATGTGATGAACCGTGGGTAACTAATTGTTACTCACAGGTAATACATTTTGTAGCAGGCACGTAAAGGTTTCTTTTTAGGACGTTGACTTTCTGTCACTTTTCTTAATTTGTAGACCATATAGGAAACAGAGGGAGAAAGGCAAACATAGTGTATTTCTTTAAAAGTTTTAAAACACCTTTTATTTTAAATTGCACTTACAAAATGGATTCTTTAAATTTGCGTATCATTGATAGTTTTTCCAGACCCAGGGTATGGTGTGATACAATCATC